TGCCAAAACGTGAGCAAGAATGGAAGAAGAAGAAAAAATGTTGCAAGGAAAATGTAAACAAGATGCACCAGTGTGACGTCATGCAAACGACGATTCTGTCAAATTCGTTAAGAGAGGAATAGCGGTCCGAGATCGTGCAACCTTTGTATTCTCTCAATCGTGCTCACAATCGTGATCAGTATGTATATATTTTGCATATGTATATGTATATGTACTTTCCACAGGCAATACACAAAATCTCCTATGACGTCATATTTCTGTCAAAATTTTCAAGAGAGAGTTAGCGGTATCACAATCAGCGCCACCTTCTGCATTCGTTTCACCCTGCCAAACAACCAAGATGGATTGGTAGGTTGTTTAATCAATCCCATCAAATCCCACCAAAAAGGAATCAGCTGTTCAGCGCAAAATGCAAGCAAACAAGCAAATGCAACAACAATTTCAAGGAACAAGCAGCAGTGCTGCCAATTGTATTGCATATTTGAACGATTATAATGCACTTGAACGCAATGTAAAACGGAAGCATCTAAAATCAATAGATCCTTACGAATTCGCTGAGATTTGTTACGATTCGCCCCGTGTATTATAACCAAGGTATTAAAGTAGGCGAAATAGCAAGGCGAATGGTGATTGCCCAATTCGGCGAACTTCGCCGTTCGGGTTGTATTGTGTTTCAAGCATTATTTACATGATCCAACTACACAAGATCTGATAAGATGAAGCAAAAGAAAAAAGTAATTTTCTGGCTGACGTTTGTAATTTCGGTGCCATATTATTTTCTGTGAAAAGTAAACAAAGAATATGAAGACGAAGCATAAAGAAAAAAATGCAAGCAATGTTGTAGCACATGTTTGTGCTAACCAATTTATTATTTTTTTACGTGTTTTTGCATCCAATCACCGCGCATTTGCAATTTGTTAGTGATTTTTCAGTTGAAGAGTGTGTAAAAACTAATTTCCAAGCACCTACTAGCCACGGTGTAGCGAAACAAAGGTGGCGCCGTCAGAGGTACCGCTACTTTGGTTTTGCCGATTTTAACAGTTGTGGTAACTCGTAAATAAACTTTTGTTTACAAATCAGTGGCATAGAGAAATTTGAATTATTAGTGAAAAATCGGTTTAAATCGTGTTAATTTGCAATTTGTTAGTGATTTTTCAGTTGAAGAGTGTGTAAAAACTAATAAAATGAAGTGCCGTGTATAAAATTGCGACAGTCGTGAAGGTAGTGCCTCGAAATGCAGCTTTTTTCCTTTCCTCGCAACGATGCCGTGGCGAGAAAGTGGGTGGAATTCTACAGGCAAGATAAGCCATTCAATTTGGATACTAGCATCATATGCATGCGCTGTTGTCCTTCCATGAAGTGCACCATGGTGCCCCATCTCATTATGCGTAGATGCGCTGCGACGAATAGCTGCATTTTGTGTATATAGGGCGCGGCAAAGCCGTTCCCGAAATGTTTTTTTTTTTTATTATTATATTGACAGCATTTTACCAGAGTCATATCGCTTCTGCTCCAAGCAGCCTTCTTTAGCAAGTTAAGTAATCAATCCCACTCAGATGCTGGCGCAGTTTGCTGCACCAGCCTTAGTTGCAAAGCAATGGAGTACACTAAAACATTTGCTGCAGCAGCCTTAATTGCAAAGCATGAAGTGCACTAAAACGTTCACTATTCTCCAATAGATTAGATGAAAAATGCAATATTTTCGCATTGATCAAAATTAAAACACTTTTTTCGCTGTAAAGTGAACTGTTTTGACAGTTTCAACTCGTTCTACTTTTGTCTCTATTGTCAACGGCCAGGACGGCGCAATCTTGTATTCTATCATTCTTGGGTGCTTGGTATGAAAAAATTCGTGGCAACACTGTTTGTTTGTCAAGCTTGACAATCCAATCCGTGCAACCCTGAGTGATATACAAAGAAAATTGATGAAAAGAAATTCGTAGATTGCTTACGAAGAGGTGGTGGTTTTTCGTCACTAACAAATTTGCGAGGTTTGCCAAGATAATCGCACTGTGTTTCAAGGGCAGAGGTTAAGGAAGGAGATTTTCATAAATATTTAATCATACTGGAAATTTAATCTAAAAATAAAGCATCTGAGGTGGCTTGAATTAGCCCTCAGACAAGTTAAGTTGAAAGGTGAGAGCACCTAATTAACAAGTACCCAACGATTAGCTCAGGTGAAATATTTTCAGTGAAATAAATAATAACATATATAAAAAGTTGGTTGAGATCATCATATCGTATCAAGATGACTGCTCCTGAAGTACCTCGCACGGAATTGCAAGAATTACAACTCAAATCTGCTCAAGTGGCAGATGAGTCACTTGAGAGCACCCGTCGAATGCTTAATCTGATGGAAGAAAGCAAAGAAGCTGGAATCCGGACCTTAGTGGCTTTGGATGACCAAGGGGAACAATTGGATCGCATTGAAGAAGGAATGGATCGCATTAACGCAGACATGAGGGAAGCTGAAAAAAATTTAAGCGGAATGGAAAAATGCTGTGGGCTATGTGTTGTACCATGGAAAAAAGTTGCGATCAAAGACGATAGCGACAGTGCTTGGAAAGCAAACGACGATGGCAAAATCGTTAATAGCCAACCGCAAAGAGTCGTAGACGAACGTGATCGAATGGGAGGGGCACCACCCCAAAGTGGATATATACCACGTATTACTAACGATGCTCGAGAAGATGAAATGGATGAAAACTTAGGGCAGGTAAACTCTATGTTAGGAAATTTGCGTAATATGGCTCTAGATATGGGATCGGAATTGGAAAACCAAAACAAGCAAGTTGATCGTATCAACGCTAAGGGTGATGCAAACAACGTACGAATGGATGGAGTAAACAAACGTGCTAACAATTTGCTCAAAAGTTAAAAATTTCAAAAGATTATCTAATAGACTAGAGCTAAGTATATGTATAAAGCGCAAATTGAAAGGCACAAATACTAAACATAAACAACACAAACACGGATATTGATAAATCTGCTCAGTTCCAGGTGCACGCAACAAATTGCCCAGTACCGAAAAGACCTACCATTGCGGTGCATTTTTACAATTTACATGTTACCAGTAACTATATACATATACGATATATACACTAAATCGCTGAAAATACAAATGACTAATATACAAGTGCTGAACTAACTACCCACCATCTAAGTAACTACTTACATTATACACTTATACAAAACGATGAATCAGACAAGATTGCGGAAAAATAAATTCAATGTCTCAACTATGTGCATATGTATATTTAGCACAAGCACCTATAATTTAAACTTTTTATATTTAGTAATCGTTTTTGATGGCGTTCAAATAACGCGATTTTATCTTTTATAAAATTATTATTTCTATAACTTTACTCAATGAAAATTGTTGAAATTATACACGTTGTAGTGGAGCACTTTTTTAGGGCAATTCGTGCACACCAATATGCATTCATACACAAACTTACTGCTAGATTTGCGAGTGACGAAAAACGACTCAACACAGGTGATTTAAATACTTGTTTCCGTACTCGAAAGCCTGCTTATTACTTTATATATGTACTTATGTACCTACATTTAATTCATATTAAAAACAACTTGAACTTAGTCTTCATGTATTTATTATATTATTGTATCCTAGATAACAAGTTGTCCCCATATACAGCAGTGTTCACGAAAATAGCAGCGCGACGTATCGATAAGTTTTGATAATTTAATTTCCATTGTATGATCTTTGCCGCCACGTTTATCCGAAAAAAATATATTTATATAACAGCACCGGATGACTTCTATTAAATCCATAAAGGAAACACAGAAAATCTTGGTTTATCGGTACAAAAGTGGAAAATCGGGACATTAATACGTCCCGACTTTCAAAAATGATTCAGAGGTTTACTTCTTTAAATCGGTACAGTCCCGATGAAATCGGTACGAATGCTAACCGTACATATAAAATATCCTTTTTTACTGAAGAAAAAGCACAACACCCTCAAAGAAAAATTTTTCAAAAATCAACCGGAATCTTAAGCCACCTGAAATTTACGCATATACTAAAAAATTCTGTTAACATTTGTCAAAACAACTTCTCTCGATTGAGGTCGGTTTCTTCGAATAATAATTCAACGAGTTCGCATATGATATTTTTATTTTTAATCGTTAATAGTAGCTTAAGATGCTGTCTTAATGAAAGTTTAATAAAAGTATCTTTCATTTGTATGGTTTTTGTCTTAGAATTAAGTATATTTTTGTACAAAATAACCAAAATTGATAAAGGAAATTAAATAGTCAAAACTGTTATTTTCATGAACGCTGCTGTATACATACATATCGTCGCTTGGCGTGCAATAAGCGTCCAATGCGAATGTATACAAAGTGGTGTTACTGGCGAATTTAGATTTTCGCCGCGGTACTTCCTAATGTCAAAATGATGTGTTTGTTGTAAACAAGGCGAATTCATATTACAACAAAAACTAAGTTCGGCAGTAACACCACCTTGTATAAATTCTTTTTCTCAGCCATCATCGGTATTGCCTTTTTGCGTGAGGCGAATTTATACAAGGGGGTGTTGATGGCGAATTTAGATTTTCGCCGAGGTACGTCTTAATGTCAAAATGATGTGTTTGTTGTAAAATGAATTCGCCTTGTTTACAACAAATACATCATTTTGACATTTAGTAGTACCACGGCGAAAATTTAATTCGCCATCAACACCACCTTGTATAAATTCGCCTTGGTGGTGTTACTCCCGAATTTAGATTTTCGCCGCCGTACTTAATGTCAAAATGATATGTTTATTGTAATATGAATTTGCCTTGTTTACAACAAACACATCATTTTGACATTAGGAAGTACCGCGCGAAAATCTAAATTCGCCATCAACATCGCCTGTATAAATTCACCTTGATTTTGCGTATACGCGAGATTGCACCCCAAGCGACGATATGTATGTATACGTACATACATATGTCTATTCATTAGATGTTTTTTTTTAATTCGTAAAAAAGTCTTTAAGACAATTTGGATGCGTTCAGAAATACATCAGTCTCTTATTTCTAAACTATAATTGATGGAAATGTCCAATATGCGCAACCATGGACAAATGCCGAATTGGAACTTATACGGCTTTCCCACGCCACCCCAATTACGTAGTTCGCTATCTCATTAGTAATTCGCACTCCAATTACCCTTCGAATTACGTAATTCGCCATACAAAATTTTGAGAGCGAATTACCTTATTTGTTGGTAGTTCAGATCCAATTACCATGCGAATTATGAACAAATCGGTGCCGTCTCTAATTTTTATCGGGAATTTATCGAAACTAGCCCTTAAATCAAAACTTGCATTTTTCTGAGAACGAAAAGTAAAGTTTATAAATATGTATATCCCTAATTTAATACGGAAATAATTCAATTTTGCAACGAAGAAAACAAAACCAAAACATACAGAGAACTGTCAAATCGAATTAAGAATGTGGGAATGGGGTAATTCGCGATCGTAATTGGGGGAGCGAACAAAGAAATTCAGGATGCCGTGGGAAAATGGTGTTAGTTGCGTAAATAAGGCATTTCCATTAATTATAGCTTTAGAAATAAGTTACTAATGCTTTGGCTTGATGCATTTCTGGACCCACCCATTGTTCTTGTTAAACTATTACAAATTAATCTGTTGCATTTTACTTGAACAACTTAAAGGACTTCAAAAGGTTTGACTTTGAATTAAAAAATAATAAAGACTACAAATTTTGTATTTTTAATAAGCTTCGATTTAAAGGACAATTTAAACTGCACCATATTGGAACCTAATGAAATATTGATTTAAAGGTTAAATGGCCTATCTTGACATAAGTTGTTTTAATAAAATTCCACAAAAATATCGCTAAGGTTATAAGTACATATTGTATTATTTAAATCCATAAATAGACAAAAGTTAAAACGAATAAAAGGTGGTTTTTGTCACTACGATGGAGATAATGAATTATTTTTTTAAATTTCAACTAATAGAATTACACTGACCAGCCGTCTTCACGTGCTGGAAAATATCGCTTGCGTGACGACGCATGCGAGATCCTGCACATGTAGACCGCAAAAAGTACGAAGCATACTTTTTCTCGAATACCGAGCGGTTTGCGAGATCTCCCATGCTTTCAACTATCATTTTTGTTTGACAGGTATTTCCTCATTTGGCAGAATTCTTCAGAGTGGAAACATCGTTTATTTTGGTGGAAAATACAAATTTGGCCTGAAAAGTTCGAGCTTTCTCTTTTGGGGACATTTTACAAATGAAGAAGTTTGCTGTTAAGTGCCCAGTGAACAAAACTCGTATCTCGCTTCCGAGAGAAAAAAGTAGAACGCAAGCGAGGTTTTGAAACATGTAAAGACGGCCGGTCAAAGAGAAATGCTGCGTAGATACAGGCACGTTTTCATAAGGTCAAATTCAATGGCATTTGTCGTAAAATTAGTGAAAACACATTGTCTAATGGGTCCAAAAACCGGTTATTGATTAATTAAGATTAGTATAGGTTCAGTCATACATCTGCTGCTAAAGGCCCCACCAGATAGAAATTCTTTTCTGCGTCACACGGATGCTTCTGACCAGAGTGTCCAGATTTGGCGATTTCGCGCCAATTTAGCGATTTTTTTTTAGATATTTGCGCATATAAATTTAGGAAATCGCCATTGGCGATTTTGGGCGATTTTTTCCCATCAAAAAAAATTTTTTGCAGTTATAAAAATATACAAAACTTAGTTTTCCACGATAATTTTACAGAAGAGGCTAATGAACTGCGTGATAAATTTGACTTAAGAAGCATATTAAAAAACTGTTAAAAATGTCGAAGAACTTTTGAAACGATTACCTAGTCAATTAAATATTTTTAAAAAAGCCTTGATTTTGTTACCATAAAAGTATTAGAGCTCCTGATATTCGATTAATCGAATATTCGAATTATTCGAATATGATGCTATTCGAATAGTAAAATTCGATTAGCTGTATTCGAATAATCGCACGCCATCTATTATTCGAATGATTGATCGTTTTCAATTATTCGAATAACTGGTGCGCGATTATTCGAATGTTGAAATATATGTAGCTATGTATACATACTATGTATGTATCAGGGTTGTTGCGAATATTATTCCCAAATAAAAGTTCTTTCCGGATAATAAACAAACCGCTTATCCAAATCAAACAAGTTTGGTATTAAATGAAAGAGGATTTAAATAGCTTTAAAACTGAAATGTCTAAACGAAGAAAGCCACATTGAAAAATATTTCAACAAAAAATTTTAACTAATTGCCATAAAACAAATCTTGTGTCAGGTGCCTTTCTTTAGTATTAAATTATAAAAAAAAATATAAATAGAGATCGTTCGCTATTTCTGTTTAAAAGTTATTTCAGTCTTCTTTCATATGATACCAAATTTGTTTAATTTGGACAGGCGGTTTGTTTATTAAGCGGAAAGGACTTTTATTTCGGAAAAATATTCGCAACAACCCTGGTATGTATGTACACATTTAAATAAATTGAAATGTATGAATATGGGCCATTCCAGTGAAGACGATACAAAAATAAAATACATAGATTGTAGGTGCGTTCGACAAGTCAAAAATTTGTAATAGTTTTTCCAAATTTTTACTGGATGGCGTTCGATAACGACAAAAAATTATCCAACACACAAAAATTGAGAGGGCAAGCATTCATTTTGATGCAAGAGAAGCGTCCATTTTGTACTGGCAAAATTTTAGTCAGCAAAAATTATCCAACACGAAAACATATGATCACAAAACATATGGTTGCAATTTTTGTAAACAAACAAAATTGCATTTTTCGAGTTTTGGGATTTATATGCTTTTTGGCTGCCTGCTATGTGACTTTATGATAGAGCCAACTAGTTCTTACTTCTAGAAATGTTCCTGGCGAACATTGAACGTTCACTTTCCTTTTTTCTTCTATGGAGGCAACATGAATTTCAGTTTGTTTACAAATAAAACATAAACAAAGTCAGCTGGTGTGTCTTCTTCTTCCGGTTTTTGCAAGTAATGGCTAATTTCCTGTTCGTTTACTTTTTTGCCTTTTCATCTCTTTGGGAGAGAATTTTCGCTTACTCTCTTGATTTTGATTGTTGGCTGGTGTTGGCTAATTTTGTTATCGAACGCAACTTGTGTTTCAGCCTGTGAAAAAGCAGAGAGAATAATTCGTTAGAAATAGATTTCTATGTTGTCAAGGCATTCCTGGTGTATCAAAATGACAATTCAAAAAATAATTATCAAAAAAAAAAGGAAAGTACAATTAATGGACTTTAAAACGGTTATTACAAAAATTTATGTATGCTGAGGAGTCACAGCCAAATATGTATTTTTTAACGTATAGATCAAACCAGGTCCCCTTATAAAAAATTATTTAATATTCACATCAAACCATTAGCGGTAATTTTATTCACGAACTATGTGTCCTCAATAGTGACTCGTCCCACCCGTCACAATCTAAAATGTATGTTGTGGCAAAAATGAGATTTGGTAACACCGAACTCCAGGCATCGAGATTTATGCATACAAATCATAAAATCGTTATTAAAACAACACATTTGTAAAATAATAGCTAGAGAAAG